CTGTGGTTTTCCCTATTCCAAAGTTTAAAATTAGCATGCCCCTTTCGAAAAAGGGGCCAGTGTAGACGTAGCCATAGACTCATAGACTTTAAGGTCAGCAGGGACCATTATGATCATCTAGTCTGACCCCCTGCACAGTGCAGGCCACAAAATCTCACCCACCCCTCCTAAGAATAATCCTCTCACCTATATCTCAGATATTGAAGCCTTCAAATACTTTGAAGACCCCAAGATGCAGAGAATCCTTCAGCTGTGATCTGTACCCCATGCTACAGAGGAAGGCGAAAAACCTCCAGGGCCTCTGCCAATCTACCCTGGAGGAAAATTCCTTCCCGACCCCAAATATGATGATCAGCTAAACCCTGAGCATGTGGGCAAGACTCATCAGCCAGACACCCAGAAAGTTCTCTCTAGTAACTCCTATCATTCCTCCATTGACCTATTTCCCACTGAATGGTCAATTAGTTACCAAGATCACGTTCTCAAACCATCCCCTTATCATAGAATCATAGAATCATAGAGCTGGAAGAGATCTCAGAAGGTCGTCAAGTCCAGCCCCCTGCTCTAGGCAGGACCAATCCCATCTAAATCAACCCAGCCAGGGCTTTGTCAAGCCAGGACTTAAACACCTCTAGGGATGGAGACTCCACTACTTCCCTAGGTAACCCATACCAGTGCTTCACTACCGTCCTAGTGAAATAGTTTAAGCTGTATAAGCAGTGGGGCAGAGATTGGGCACCTGCCCTTCCTTAGGAGCCTGGACAGACCCCCCAGGCTCTCAGGTCTGTCCCAGAGAGGCTGGGACCTGTTTGTGTGACCTTGTCTAGTTCCTGGTGAAAGTCAACAGCGCAGACCCTGTGCTGGGGCTGAGGGATGCCTTGCTGTGTGGGTTACAAGGCATTTTTTCTAATTTGCAGTGCTAGAAACTCCACTGGGGTCATGCAAATCCCACGGTGTTCTCCCCTCTGTCAGGGTTATTTTGTTTGACCAAGAGTACATCTAGATGGCAAAAAAACCCCAAACCTCTTCAGAGACTCTAAGAGCAATTGAGTTGGACTAGTACTCCGGAGCTAAAAATATTGCCAACGTTCCTATTTGGGCTGTGGAACCCAACAAGGAGGGTAGGTTTTAGGGCCTTGGTTCCAGCCTAAGCCTGAATGTCTACGCTCTTGTTTTGAGCCCTAAAGGTTGAGATGCTATACCACACATTTTTTATTGCAGTGTAGACATTCCAATACTGTCTGAGTTGGACACAAACAGATAGACCTAATTTCACGTAACTTCATGCAGGTGTGCATGAAGCTGTGTACCGAAGATGACTCAATCCTTGTTCTGATGATCTCATACATTTATTAGGTATATGTAATACAGGCCAAGTGCAGTTGGGATTTGGAATGAAAGGCAGGAAAAAAAAGTCAAAGATTTTATTTATGTTTTGGTGAGTGTCTTGTTGCTGTTGGATTTTGAAGTACATTTGAACATCAGTGGAGCAGTTTGTGGGCAGGGAGTCTAGTTGGCAGATCAGTCTATGATAGTGATATTAAAATTAGGTTAATCAACTAATTGAGTAGTCAATAAGGGCGCTTCTGCTTTGAAATGTAGCAAGAGCCCGTTAGGTGTTCTGCCTTTGAAATGCACAAGAGCCCCAGTAGGGGATTCTTGTACATTTCAAAGGTAGAATGCTGCCGCTGTGCCCCTGCCTCCTCCCAGGAAGCTGGAGCAGGGGGGAACTGGCTTTTAAGCCGGCTCCCCCCAGCACTCCCTCTTCGTCCTCCCCTCCCCCCTTGATGTCTTTTTCTGATAGAGGCAGCAAGGGGTGGGGAAGTGATTAGTTTAGTTTGTCAACTATCCAATACGCTTTTGCTCATCGGAAAGTCGACTAGTTGATTAGTTGCTTACATCCCTAGCCTATGTTACCATTTTGCATCTACGTGGTGGAGTTTTTTGCAGCAGGAAAAACTTGTTTTCTTCATTAAAGCATACAGAGATCCCTGGAAAAAATGTGGGGTTCAGATCAGTGTTCCCTCTAACTTTTTCCATCCATGTGCACAATAAACTTTATGTGCACCAAAGCATGTGTGGATGTGCATGACCATAGAAACACATGCTGCCAATTGTGGGTGCTCTGCTAATCAACTGGACAGCATTTGAATCTCTTTTGAGTTGCTGTCCAAGTGCTCATCTTACCGGGAGCACTGGCCAGGTATAGACTTGTATTAACACTTTTCATCTGAAGTGCTTTATAAATATTGCTATTTAACAAGCTTTGCAATCCCTCTCCTCCTATAAGTATATTAATCTGTATTATTGTTAAGGAAATTGAGGTACAGTGATTTGCCCAAGTGACCATAACTCTTGGTGTTAGTCAGTGGCGGAACTTAGATTAGATTCCTAAAATACCTGACTCTTAGTTTCTTGCTTTAATAATAAATCTGCCCTTCCTTTTGTAGACCAGATAATAAGCACCTCTATAGGGGGACTGTGTTATGCTGTTCATGAGCAGGATCAGATTAGGGTTGCTAGGTAACTTCTGCTTTAAAGGGGCTCGGAGATGCAATGATGAGGGCTAAAGATGTCTCTAAATGAAGTAATTAGTAAGTTTTCTCTACTTCTTGTCTGTTCCCCATCCTACTGCCACCCTCCTTACAATAGACCTACAAGAATAATTATCCGCATGGTGGATTCAAGACTGGTTTTCTAAGAGGAATTAATCTTTTACTACATCATCCCACTTTCTGGTAAAGATTAAAAAACAGGACTATGTAGCACTTTAAAGACTAACGAGATGGTTTATTAGGTGATGAGCTTTCATGGGCCAGACCCACTTCCTCAGATCAAATAGTGGAAGAAAATTGTCACAACCATATATTTTCTTCCACTATTTGATCTGAGGAAGTGGGTCTGGCCCATGAAAGCTCATCACCTAATAAACCATCTCGTTAGTCTTTAAAGTGCTACATAGTCCTGTTTTTTAATCTTTACCAGAAAGTGGGATGATGTAGTATTCAGTTACGTAAAAATCGATAAGAAGAAATCTGTAATCCTTTCATAGCTCTAGTTTTTCTTCCAGCATAAGTGGTGGTGTTTGAAACCTACTGAGCATGAGAGCTCATGTAGAACAAGTGTTTTCAGTGCAATATGATGACAATCAATTTGTAGAACTTGTGGTTGCAAGACTGTTGTGGAAATTGCAACTAACAGAGGGTGTTTTGCTTTCTTCAGGTCTCATAAATGACCATAAAAACATTCATGGAAATGCACCAGTGCCTCCGCCCTCAAGGGCTCTAAGGTGGAGAAATCCCAGGCCGACTGCCTTCAACAGTCGGGGAACATTCTCTGCAAGATATTCTCAGCAACTTCCAAGGGATTTTCAACCACATCAAGGCAACTCCTGGAGGAAAAAGTACTCACTTGTAAACAGACCACCTGCAGCTACGCCTCATCCTGGAAGCAGTGCATCTGTTAACGCACTGCCGGCTTTTGTGAGCCAAAGGAGTGATGAGGCTCCTGGGCCCCAGGAAGCAGGCTCAGAAAGACAAGTGGATTTAATGACTGATGGCAATGTAGTCACAGGAGTGAAACTGCCAGAGAGTACTAACTCATCCTTGGACAACAAAAATGTTAGTGAGTTGGGATCTCAGCCGGGTTCTTCTGGGATGAAAGTAACTGTAGCTGCTCCAGAAGGAGTTGGAAAGGTTCTTGCAAGCTCTAGCTTTCAAAGTGTTGCTCAAAAAGAGGACAAAAAACCATCTTTCTCTGTTTCCCATAGTTCACTGTACCAGCCTGTTGTTGGAGGTGGAGATGAAGCATGCCCAGCATATCGGAAGGAAATGAGCAAACTTTGGACTGTGAGACTGGCTAAAAGTGCCCCTGAGTCACGTGACTTTATCAGTGAAGTTGCCATAGCATTAAAATCCAAACCTCAGCAACCTTCAGCTCTTCCTGGTCAAGACTCAGGCTGGCTAGGAGCCTGGAGGAAACCAGTAGCACAAGTTCCAGCTCACTGTAGGTCAGAGAAAGTCATGGCAGAAAGAGATACTTTGAAGGAGCCAAAGACTCTTGCAAAATCAGAGGTGCACACAAGCTCAGTTCAATCTGTGGCTTCAGAGGTTGGTATAAGTCCCCCAAAGAACCAGTTTGTGGTACCACACAAGCTATCCAGTCTCCAGAGAGCGACCTCGACGCCAGTCTCCAGCAAAGCTTGTAAGTTCAGGAAAACCAACTATACATGGGTAGCAAATCCTAGTAAATGCCCCCGTGCGGTAAAGAGGTGGACAAGCCCTAGAGCTTCTGAAAGCACAAGGAAGTTTTCTGCAGGAACAGAGAGAACTGCTAAGTCACTGCCAAGGGGAGAGTTGGGAGCAAAGCAGAAGAAAGCCGGAATGCATTTGAAACTGGATGCCTCTCCGAGTAAGTACAAATGGAAAGCATCCAGCCTACAGCCACCTTCTTCCGCTTCCAAGTCTGTGTTCAGGTGGCAGTCTGAGGGACTAAAAGAGGCTGGAGTCTCCCTGTTTTCCAGAGCCAACTTGGGCCTTCAGATTCTAAGCAGTGCATCCATTGGCCATGATGGGTTGAAGTCATCTTTCAGCAATACTGCACTTTCCACTTATAAAGTGAAGAGCCGGACCAAAATCATCAGAAGAAAGGGGAGTTACTGGTAAGTTGCTAATTGTGTCTGAAGTTCTGTAGCCTGTACTCACTTTCTTTGCACTGCTCCTAGGGGCCCGCTCCTACGTTCATTGAAGTCTATAGGAGTGTTGCCATTGTTTTCAGTGGGAGCAAATGCTCAGTTATTTACACTGTAAGTTCTTAGGAGCAGGGACCCTGTTTGGGGTTTCTATTCAGTGTGTAGCCCAATGGGGTACTGGTCCATGAATGGGGTTGCTAGATGCTATCCCATTACAAAGAAATACTTGCTCCTTCCTTTCCAAACACAGTGGGCTTTCCAATCATGTGCTGCTTTTGTGAGAGATGGAAGTCCTTAAACTTAAACTACTTATTTCCCACGTACAACTGCTGTTTCATTTCCTTTTGGCCCACTGTATTCTCCGCAAAATATACATTGCCCACAGCTCTTATTTAGAGACCCTACAATAATAAGCCAATATGCAGTGAGGGGAAAAGAAGTTAGTAAGCAAACAGGTTTCAGTTTCAGGTTATGGCTTTGTTAGACTTAGGTGATGGGGAGGGGAGGAAGAATGATTTCAATTGTTATTTTATCATGCTTTTAGCTCCAAAGGGCTTTACGCATTTTATCCACAGATGCCTCTGAAGAAGTAGGCAGCAGGAAATGCAGGTACAACACATGCACTACAGTGGGGAGAGAGACTTCTGCCTAGGTGTCCCATTTGTACAAAAAGTGCCATGGGATTTCTAATAATCCCCTGGTATCTCTAGTAAGATCCCATCCCTTGGGCGTGGGCTTACCTTGTCTCTCTCTTTAAATCTTACACTGTACATCATTTTAATCCAAGTATTTAAATCATACCTGTAGAATTTTGGCAGTTGCTTTTGATTCTCCATAGAGTGAAATTGGCAAGGATCCATGTCCAGTTAGTGGTCATGCTGTTTTGGTGGATGCCATTAGATGAGTGCTGTGTGCAGGAGCAGCAGAAATATCCAGCACAATCCCTATGTAATGAAACCTCTGCCATGTGCAATGGAAAGGACAGGGGTGGAAATAATTGGAAGAAAAAAGGCATGTGGACTAAGTCATACACATAGGAAAGTGTCAGGTTGGACTGGGGATGTGGCACTAGCAACACTTGAGATCAGGACCAAGCTGTCTCTTGCTTATAAGCTAGTGAGCTTTGATAACACTGTGGAGGCATCATCGTGGGAAGGGTGTGCTTTATGTTACTGTGTAGCAGAAACTGCCTCAATAGACTGTAGATGCCCAGAATCAGCTTGAAGCCAAAATTTCCAGTGATATGTCCAGGGCCTCAAGCAATGAGCCGATGGTAGAACTTAGTTTAGAATTTGTGGGCTCTTACTTCCATGTCCAAAATGCTCTTTTCATCTGTCTTCTGCTGATCTGCTCACCATGCCTTGACTTATCTCCTGGAGAGCGGTGAGGATGTCTCCACGTGCCTGGTGGTGAGGAAATGGAGTCTGTGGAGTGAGGAGAGGAGAGGTTGGGGTTTGCTTGGTCTTCCCAGCCCTTTTAAGGACATCCTGTTTCTCCAACCACTATAGTAGGGAAGAGGCTGGGAGTGATGGGGGATATTTAGATGTCAGAGCTCCTTCATCTTTATGCTTTCCCAGGAATTGGCCACGTTTGTCCTTGTGCCTGGCATTTGCCATCAGGATATTTCCATTGCTCTTACCTAGAGAAGCAGCATGGTTCAGTGGATAAGGTATCAGACTGGGAGAACTGGGCTCTAATCTAGCTGTTCTGTTGGCTTGCGTTAGTGGAGAAAAGAGAGCACACGCAGCTGGGGCAGAGAGTTGCTATTATAACTTTTTAAAACTCCTTCTGTTGTGTTCTTTGCAGTTCCCCAACAGATAAGAAGAGCAACTCGTTCCCTACGGTGCATCTAAAAAGCCACTACTCTCTCAGGAAAAGAAACTCCCTGCGAGGAAGACCTGTGCCAATGAAGAGAACCCCACCCAAGGAGCTGGTGCAGATCACCAAGCACAGGCTATGCCGGCTGCCTGCCTCTAGAATGCTCATGCCAGCCAAGGAAGGTAAGAGCAGCCTTGATATTCCTGGCTTGGATATTTGATGGTAGAGCTGGAACGCTGCATGGGCAGGAACAGTTTTAGGAATAGATTTTGGAATTAGGAAGTGAGCTGTTTATTCCTCAGTAAGATAACCCTGCTGATCACTGTTGTAGGGTCAGTGACGAGAAGAAAAGTCAGCATGGGATGAATCTGTTGCTCTATTTCAGGGATTTCTCCCTAGGTCCCACTTCTCTAGAGGCTTGCATTCTTCCACTTTGTCCAGCATGTACTGTGAAACCTCCCTTGAGGGCCACCTCTGTTGACAATTACTCCAAAGCTTCTCCTTGCTTCTAGGATGGTTTTGCTGGACCTTTCATTAAAGACCAGCTTTTACTGGGTAAATGATTGTTTTCAGTAGTGGGGTAGGAGGGAGTGTAAGAAGCTTTCACTGAGTATAGACCTGTGTATAGCACTGAGTTGTCTTCTGTACATGTATAGGTTCAATTACCTGTCTCTGAATGTATGACTATTGATGGACCCACATTCCACATAGTTAAAAAAGTTACTGGTGTGAAAAGACCCTGAAAGGTGACTGGTCAATGTCTGTTAATTTTGTTTGTGTCCTTTCTCCTCCACCACAATCCCCTTGCCACTCTCTAAATCAGGAAAAGGCAAGGACTGTTCCATGGAAACTCTTGAAATCTAACCAGACACAACAAAGAGAACTCACTGAATAGTCAGAGTTCAAATATCATTGGTCAGCATAGAGATGAGCCCACTCAAAGATCCAATTGGTTCTGAGTTTATAGGCATCACAAAGAGTGTTTTTGAAGAAGGACTCAAAGAAGTTGTCAGTGTTGTTTGTATGATACACCTGTAAGATTGTCTAGGGAAAAATGGTGCATGTGTCTCATGAAATATTTATCTCCGCAAAGAAAAATCTACCTGGTAAGTGCGTCATGATTAGGAACTGTGAGCATCTCTGCAGGGTGAAGAATGTATGTGTGAGTTGGTTGAAGTTTCTAGGTCAACTTAAACGTTCATGGGTTATTAAAGGAAGGAACTAAGATTTAAGGAAGGTGTTTGTGAGCTGGAATGCTTCCCCTTAGGAATGACTGTATTTAGCTGTAAAACACCTCTTCCTTTAGATTAGGGATGCAGAACCTTTTTTGGGTTGAGGCCACTGACCCACAGAAAAATAAGTTGAGAGCCACACACGAGTGAGAAGCAAAAAAAAAAAAAAAAAAAAAGCCTCTTGGATGTGGTCCCTGACTCAGGGTTCCCCTTGTACACTAGCCCCATGGGGTGTGTGAGGTCACCAAGACTCGGGCCTTCTCCCTAGGGCTGGATTAACTCTTCTGGAGACCCAGGCCTGATAGATTATGTGGGGACCCTTTAGGCTTTGGGGTGTGGTCAAAAATGTGGGGCTTAGTGTGTGTGAGAGGAGGCTGCTGGGAAGTGGGGCGAAGGTACTGGGGCAAGGCAGGAGGTAGGGTGCAGGAGCAGATTTGTAGTGCAGGGTCTGGGCAGGAGGTAGGTTGTAGGAATAGGATTTGGGGTGCGGGTGTTCTGAGTGGGAGGTAGGGTGCAGGAGCAGAGTTTAGTGTGTGGGGGCTGGATGGGAGGTAGGATGCAGGAGTAGGATTTTACAGATGGCTGGTCTGGATGGGAGGAGGCAGGAGATTGAGGCATCTACCTGGTGCAGCTCCCAAGGGGACTTAGATAGCTCCGCACTGGGAGGCACTGCCCCCCAGACCGCTTCTATTGGCCAGGATTCCCGGCCAATGGTAACAATGGAGATGGAGCCTGCAAGCCAGTGCTGGGGCTAGAACTTCTCTACCCTGCATTTCTTGATACAGAGCCATTTCCTCCCCTCTCTCGACAGAGCCTGTGGGCCAGATGCCAGAGCCCTGCCGCCCCAGGTGGGGGTGGCCAAAGTTAAATCTTGAGCTGCATTGGGCCGGGCAGCGGGAGTGGAAGGAGGGCAAAGCTGAAGCTTAAGGGCTTCAGCCCTATGTGGAGGGCCTGTATCCTGAATCCCACCACCCAGGCCTGAAGCCCATAAGGGCTTCAGCCCCAGGTCCCAATAAGTTTAAGGCAGCCCTAGGCACTCCATTAAAACAGGGTTGCGACCCATTTTGGGGTCCCAACCAATAGTCTGAGAACCACTGATGTAGGGTATTTGACCTCGTGCATGTGGCTATTGTGAACAGCTCTCTGTTTTGTAAGTTGGTGTTTCTCTAGTTTGATCACCTGCTGTGTGTGGGGAGATTTGTCAGTTAGCTGGGGAGGCTCTGTCTCATTTTTGCCCCATTAACTTGTGTTTATATGATTCTCTTGTGTGGTTTGTGTGGACAGAAAGCTACCTCCATGTCCTTCTTTGCAGAACAGGAGCTTTCAAACAACCCAGCCCATTGTGGCATTGGCATCTTGCTAGGAGCCTAAGGGCTGCACCTAATTTGAGTGAACATGGAAAAGATGAGCTCTCGTGGTTCCAGTACAGGCCTGGGAGTTGGGAGGCCTGGTCCTATGATTAACTTGTGTGACGACGGACAATTTGCTTAACGTTTCTCACTCAGTTTTCTTCTCCTATAAAGTGGGTGTAATGTCCATCACAGGCGTGGGAGGGTGGTACTGTGAGTGTGGTTTATAAAGCACTTGAGATCCTCATATAGAAACCATAGAAGGGCAATCCTTGAAGATTCTTGCATGTGCAGTTGCCTAATTTGCACCTGGAATTATTGGCTTTTCAGTTGTACATGTAAATCACTGCATGTGCAAAAGAGCAGCTGCATGACTAACTTGTCATTTGTGTGTGCAGATGCTGCGGTTTTTAGACAAAAGACAGCAAACAAGGCAGCGCTTCAGGCAAGAGAGGATTTTGTTGGTGAGAAGAAGGAAAGAATGATTTTTCTGCTGCAAGTGGTTGTGGTTTTTTTTTTTTTTTTTTTTTTTTTTTTTTTTTTTTTTTTTTTGAGGGATTTGGAGACATGGGGAGATGTTGCTTTGCAGCTGTGGTTATGAAGAGTGCACCAGGTATAGTGGGGGAGGTGCCAGAGAGAGAGCATGATAAAAGGCACAAAGCAGTGGGTGGGAGAGGCAGGTGAAGAGAGCTGAGATGTGCATTTAGGTGTGTGATGACATGTGTTGACCATTTAATCCAGGGGTAGGGAACTTAAGGCCCAGGGGCTGGATGCAGCCCCCTGCTTGCCTGGATCTGGCTCCTGAAGCTCATGGCCTCCAACCTCCAGCATTGGAGAACCCACACTGGCGCTCCAGTCCCCTGCTGTTCCCCCGTGGGGCTGGAACACATAGATCTACTAGCCTGGGCCCCATTAGACTCTGGTGTGTGGGGGGAATGTGGGGAGAATCTTTCTTTTCTCAGTCAAGTGCCACGTCAGTGAGGGTTTTTTTTGGTTTGTTTTTCACTTGTGTGCAGCCCCCGACCCCAAAAAGGTTCCCCTGATCTAAGCATATGTAGTTGTTGGATCCTGGGTAACCAAACCAGCCACCATGCAGTGGAGTTGAGGCTCAGTTTCTTGCAGGTGTCACATAGGGATGTTAAATTTAATTTAATCAACTAATCGGCTAGTCAATGGATTTTCCGTTGACTAGTCGATAAGCGGGGGAGCCGCAGTAGAATTAGCTGGGAGCTAACCCCACTGTGGCTCTCCTTTTTAAATGTATTAAGAGCCTGCTGGTAAGTACATGCCAGGCCTGGTAACTCTATTCAGCGGGGGAGGGGAGGGGTTGTGACCCACAGTTTGAGAACTGCTGGTATTCCCTCAAGCTGTTGAGAACATAAAGCAGCAAAGATTTAGGAAAATGTGACTACTAAAGCAGATAGCTGGCTAGAGCATTGAAATAACAGCTACTTAGTTCAAGTAGTGGGGTCTGCATGGAAGCCTCCAGCAGGGAGGCAGCTTGCTTGTGCTGTATCTGCTCTTGGGATACATACAGCATTCAAGTCTCCTGATTTATTGATCTGGCACCTTTCACCATGATGTTCTTGGTCTCATGAATTTAAAAATTCTTTACAATTCTCTTTTAAAGAGAACATTCTGGTGGTCTGCTGAGGTTCTGGAACAAGTTGCCCTGTTGTAGAAGCTTTGGAGGGACACAGAGTATGGTCTTTAGTAAGACAGTAAAACCTGCGCTATCCAGCACTTAACTATCTGGAAAACTTCAGAAACTGGCAAATTCCCTAAAGGCTTGATGCGGCACTTTGATCCAGCTGGCCAGAGGCTGGGTGTGGCTGCGCGAAGTGGCGCATTAATCCGGCTGGCGCAAAACTGGGCGTAGCCTTGCAGCATGCTGCTATAATCTGGCCGGCCAGGAGCTGGGCTAGGCAGCTGGCAGCCCCTGCGGCGTGGGGGTCACAGCTCCGAAAAGATTGCATTGGTAGATATCCAAAATTTGAGTTTTACTATTTTTGGCCATTAGTTTTTCTAGGTCGATGGGACCCTCTGATAACCAGAATTTTTAGATAACCAGAACGCCCTAATCCCCAAGCATGCCGAATAACACAGGTTTTACTGTACAGCCAGTCCCCGACTTACGCGGATCCGACTTATGTTGGATCCGCACTTACGAACGCGGCTTTCTCGCCCCAGAGCTCGCAGGCAGCGGTCCCGCCACCTCGACCTCCGGGGCGAGAAAAGCTGCTCCTGGTGCCCCTGGTCTGCTGGGGACCGTCTCCAGCAGACCAGGGGCACCCCGAATAACACAGGTTTTACTGTACAGCCAGTCCCCGACTTACGCGGATCCGACTTATGTTGGATCCGCACTTACGAACGCGGCTTTCTCGCCCCAGAGCTCGCAGGCAGCGGTCCCGCCACCTCGACCTCCGGGGCGAGAAAAGCTGCTCCTGGTGCCCCTGGTCTGCTGGGGACCGTCTCCAGCAGACCAGGGGCACCGGGAGCAAAGCCGCAGCGGTGGCGGGGTCCCACGCCTCTGAGGCTTTGCCAAAGCAAAGCCTCAGAGGCGCGGCACCCCACTGCT